TTGGTTAGAAGTAGGAGTCCTATTAGGAGTTAGGGTTTAGAAACCCTATAAATAGCCATGTATTCCTCCTTTTTTCATAAGCAATAGATGAATATTTTCTGCAGCCTTTGAGCAGCAACTTGGAGGAAGGAACCCCTATAGAATCTGCAAGGGTTCTAACACCTGGTATCAGAGCAGCGTTCTTGGCATCTCGCTGCCCTTCCACAACCATCCATCAACCCTCCACAGCCGCCCAAAGCAATTCCTACAATTGCTTAAAAGATCGTCGCCAAATTCCATCGTCATCTCCACCACTGCAGATCATCTTTTGATCTCCCCGTGAATTGCAACAGGTTCTGGTTTCCTACCTTACTGCTGCTGTAATTTAATTATCCTTATTCGAAAATCCAAAAAAAAATTTGTTCCTATATTGCTGCATAATCTTTTTATCGTAAAGTTTTCATCTCTACGACAAAAGATACATTGCAGAATTCCAACCGCATAGCACCGTCTGTTTGATCTCGCTACTGTGTTTTTTCTATCCAAATTTCTGCGAAATTTTTATGACATCTTTGACACTTCCTAACAGAAGATTTTCCTTTAGATTTATCAAAAAATTCTTAATATAAACCATTGATCTTTTACGTCTAATCTACAGTACTTGAAAATCTGCACTGTAAAATTTCAGCCGCATAGCACTGTTTGTTTGATCTTGATACTACATTGTTTCTGTCTAAATCTCTACGAAATTTTTATGATAGCTTTGACACTTCCTAACAGTGGATTTCCCTTTAGTTTTGTCGAAAAATTCTTAATATAAACTACTGATCTTTTACATCCAATCTGCTACACTCGAAAATCTGTGCTGCAAAAACTTTCAGCCGCATATTGTTGCCTTAACCTATCAATTTGCAATCTTTTTTGAATGAAATTTCTTATACGCTTTATAGATCATCTTGGCTTCCATCTAAGATTGATCTATTGAGGAATTTATCTCTAAAAATGATTTTGTGTTGCTACAAATTTTTGTCGTAAGTCGCTAAAATTTTTCGACGAGAATTCTTCTATCACAACTTGCACCAATTTTCTTGCTATTACTGTCGAAATTTTCTTGATTAAATTGGACATCCTTGCTGTCATATAAACTGAGATATTTCTATCAATTCCCTCCTCAAAGCTCTTAAGTTTTTGGCGAAAATTTCATCGAGAAACCATTGTTTCTTCGACAACAATTCTGCTCTTATAAGACAACACATATTTGCAGCAACTTCCACTGATTTCTATCGAACCTTTGCTGTCATCTACCATAGATCCAAAACTTTCATCTATAGCCCTAAAACTCTACTAAACCACACCCTCAAACTGCACCCAAAATAGCAACAAAACAAGCCTAAACAGCAGCCTACATCTACCAATCCACCAACCCTTTCGATCATCACTTCTCT